TGCTTCTCCCTCTCCTTCTGACCCTCCTCCCTGCTGGTGCTCTCTCTCTCACTCTACCTCAAATAAGTAAATAAAAGCTTCAGGGGTGCCTGGGTGGCTCAGTTAACCATCTGCCATCATGATCCCAGGGTCCTGAGATCAAGCCCCGCATCTCTCCTACTACCCATGCTTGTGTTCCCTCTCTCACTGTGTCTCTCTCTGTCAAATAAATAAAATCTTTTAAAAAAAGAAAAAAAGGAAAAGAAAAGAAAAATAACGTTTTTAGAAAGCCTTCCTGAGAAAGACTCAAGGATTTAAGTTATCCATTCCGCAGGGCCAGGCCTACACTATTCTCCATCATTTCTGTAATGTGTGTTCTAGCCTCAAAGCAAGTATTAAAGAGAGTTATAGTGGGGCACCTGGGCGGGTCAGTCATTTAAGCGTCCGACTCTTGATTTCCGCCCAGGTCATGATCTCAGGATGGTAGGATCGAGCCCTGTGTGGGGCTCTGTGCTCTGCACAGCATCTGCTTGTACCTTCCCTTTTGCCCGTCCCTCCACTCGGATGCACTCACACTAATACATAAATAAATAAATCTTTAAAAAAAATAATTAACAAGGGGGCCCTGGGTGGCTTGTGGGTTAAAGCCCTGGGATCGAGCCCCGTGTCAGGCTCTCTGCTCGGCAGGGAGCCTGCTTCCCTTCCTCTCTCTCTGCCTGCCTCTCTGCCTACTTGTGATCTCTGTCTGTCAAATAAATAAATAAAATCTTAAAAATATGTATATAAATAAATAAATAACGAGAGTTATAGGACTATTCCTGGCAACAACAAAACCCAAATGAATCTAAAGCAATAATGCAATGTGAATTTTAAAAGTAACAACAAATCTATAATCTATGTCTGTTTATTGAATAATAATGAAATAGGTGACATTCATCCAACAGTTTCTGTACAGAACACACTTCTCCATAGCACTCTGCATTTCCTATTGGATTCTTAAAACAACCAGAGAGATGATACTATCATTTGTTTCAAAGGTGAGAAAGCAGATGCTCAGGGGACTGAAGTAACCTGTCCAAAGACACAGAGCCACCAGGTGGCACAATCTAATTCCAGAGCCCGTCCTTTTAATCTTTCTAACACTGACAGTTGAGCTCAGTTCATCTGAAGTGTCTGTCACCGCAAGACAGCCTTGGAACCAATGATACCTCAGAGAGACCTAGAAACTTGCATTACCATACATACTCAACTTCCTGACTCCAGACCTAAGATACAGCCAAAAGACAGGGAAAAGAATCAGGAGGAACCAGGCTCAAGAAACAGCCCTCTTCAGGGGCGCCTGGCTGGCTCAGTAGGTTGGGCCTCTGCCTTCGGCTCAGGTCGTGATCCTGGGATTGAGCCCTGCATTAGGCACCCTGCTCAGCAGGGAGCCTGCTTCATCCCCTCTCTCTCTGCCTACTTGTGATCTCTGTCAAATGAATAAATAAAATCTTAAAAAAAAAAAAAAAAAAGAAAGAAAGAAAGAAAAGAAACAGCCCTCTTCTAACAATCTAATTTACGCTGAGTCCTGGAAGGACTCTATGGGAAATCATTAGTGACAATCATGCCCATAATCACATACTTTCTTTTCAATGGTAATTTTTTTTATTTTAAATAAACGACTTAATTCTTCTAAAAATATAATCATATTAAATATTAATTTCCTAAGTTCGGTTATCCACTATCTGAAACCCTCTATAAACCCATAAAAATAAAAAAAAATTTAAAAATCAACTGAACCGACCTTCCGTGGACAACTAGGTAACTGTTAACCTATCAGTAAACCTATAGGATCACCAGCCTCAGGTTTATAGTATCTTGTTTATACCAGTTCTTACTACTCATGCATTTATATTCATTTATTCGTTAATAAATTTTTAATTTAAGTGTAACACATAACTAAAGTGTACAATTGAGAGTGCACGGCCCAATAAATTTTGATAAAATAAACACACTAGAACCACAAAAGCCCTATCTGTACCCCATGCTCCTCTGCTCGCTACCCGCCCTTCCCCCAAAAGTTACCACTATCCTGACTTCAAACACCATTTTTTTTTTAAATTTTATTTATTTGAGAGAGAAAGTGTGAACAAGAGAGAGTACAAGCTGGGGAAGGGGCAGGGGAAGAAGGAGGAAGAGACTCCCCGCTGAGCAGGGATCCTGGCAACCCATGCAGGGCTTCATCCCAGGACCCTGGGATCATGAGCTGAGCCGAAGGCAGACGTTTGACCAACTGAACTACCCAGGCGTCCCTCAGACACCATTTTTAAATTTCTGTAAATGGAACACATAAGGTGAACTCATGTGTCTGAAGGTTTTATTCAACATCGTATCTGAGACTCAGCCATGCTGTCACTCATAGCAGGCGTTCGCTTTCACGGCCCTAGTAAGGAGATACCACAGTGTCTCCACTCTCCTACTGATGGACATGAGATGATCCCCAGTTTGGGCTATTACGAATACTGCTATAAATATTCTCAGATATACCTTTAGTGTACATATATACATATTTCTGTTCTATATAAACTCAGGACTGGATATGCATCATGGAACATGCATGCAATAAGCTTTAGAGTATTTCTAAACAGTTTTCCAAAATGATCATACTAGTTCACACACCTACCTGTGCGAGTTCCAATCCAAACTTGTCAGTAAATGACGGTCAGTCTTAATAATTTCTAGCTATTCTAGCTAATTCTAATTCTACATTTAAAGTTGGCTATAGGGCGCCTGGGTGGCTCAGTGGGTTAAGCCTCTGCCTTCGGCTCAGGTCATGATCTCAGGGTCCTGGGATTGAGCCCCGCATCGGGCTCTCTGCTTGGCAGGGAGCCTGCTTCCTCCCACTCTGCCTGCCTCTCTGCCTGCTTGTGATCTCTATCTGTCAAATAAATAAATAAATAAATAAATAATTTTAAAAAAATAAATTTGGCTATAAAGTAGAATTCTATCTAACAAACCTTTTTCTCCTTAAAATAGCAAATGTACTCTAATGATATGTCACTAGAAATCCAAAACTTTTCTCTTTCCCTCAATTTACCCACAAATTACCAGCTACCTTGCAAGACAGCCTGCAAAAATCACACAACTGATAATCAATACAAGTTTTCATCAATCACAGAATTTCACGTATCAAAATTATGTATACACGAGCTTTCAAACTGCTGCCCACTGGAGTCCTGTTTCCTCTGCCCAATGCCCGACCTCCTATCCCTTCTATCACTGGGTGCACTGGGTGGTCCTCAGCTCCCTGAAGTCATCCCATGCTGTTGCAGCTGAGAACATCTGCACAACCTGCTGTGTCTTATATGATCTCCCCATCTTTCTGTCTGGCTATTCCCTACACACCACAGAGGCCTTCCTTAAGCCCCACATTCAGTTTAAATCAAGTCCTCAAATATATTCTCCCATAGAATCCCTTTCTATCTTGGCACTTACTACAATTTATAATTGGATGCTATCTGCCTCATTGTTTAATGCCAGTCTCCCCAACTAGATGTTTCTTTCATTCACTAGCGTGTCCCTAACACCTGGCACATACAGTAGAAAGCACTTAGTATTTGCCAAAGGAATGATGAGAGGGAGGAAGCTAAATAAGTCAACAGAAACCAACTTATGAAGGGCCTTTTATTATCCCTTGCTTTCCTGAGGGTACCAGAAGGCCACAGAGGAGTTTTAAATAGGACGGCGGCGACAGGATCAAATACACATATATTCAGCAAGGCAGGGTTAACAACAGGCCTGTCAAATACCTGATGAGAATGACCTGGCTCTTCCCGCAAACGTAACAGATGTTCTTAAGGAGATTCTTTGTCCAGTGAACCTAAATTGGGCCTTAGAATCCCTCTCAGGGCAGATCTCTAAGGAGCCATTGCCAATCAATCAAAGTGGTCCAAGCGATGAAATCTGATGACAGCTCTAAGACCTGAAGGTCTAGTATAAATATACCAGAAGTCTAAGAAACTATTTTAAAAAATGAAGGGAGCAAATGCTCCCTGCAGAATATTTAGGTTAAAAATGAAAATCTTAAGGGGCACCTGGATGGCTCAGTCAGTAGAGCAAGCAACTCTTGTCAGGGTTGTGAGTTCAAACCCCACCAATGGTGTAGAGATTACTTAAAAATAAAATCTTAAAAAAAAAAAAAAAGAAAAAGAAAATCTTGGCACACCTGGGTGGCTCAATCAGTAAAGCATTTGCACCTTGGGTTCAGGTCATGGATCCCAGGGTCCTGGGACTGAGCCCTCCCTCCTCATCAGGAGTCTGCTTGTCCCTCCTCCTCTGCCCCTCCTCTCACCAGTTCATGCTTTCTCTCTCTTGCTCTCTCTTTCAAATAAATAATGAATCATTGAAGATGCATCAAAAACTAATGATGTACTATATGCTGGCTAACTGAACATAATAATAAAAACAATGCTACACCTGAAAATAATATTACACTGTATGTTAACAAACTGGAATTTAAATAAAAACTTGAAAAATTAAAAATAAATAAAAATAGAATAAAATAAATAAAATAAAATCTTAAGAATCTTGATGTGATAGTTACCCAACTTTTGGTGACAGTACTTTCCAGAACGGGAGCTGTACAGTATCTTGCTTTTTAAAAAATTATTTTGCTTCATCTTCATAAAAGTTGTATTCATAGTCAGCCAACGCTAAAGAATATTTTTGCCCCATTACCACCTCACTTTCATATCGGAATCGAGGGCATGGATTTTAGATCAAGCCTCTACATATTCAGAATGATTATCTCAATTGTATCAACTGGCACTTATGCCAAGTGTACAACTGGTACTAAATGCAGCTGTGCTAAGCATAGAAAAGCTACTTTTTATCATGTAAGCTGGTCCCAGACTTGCTCTCCATTTTGAAAACCCAAAATGAGATCATGAACCTAGATTTCAATGATGAGAGCAGAAAACTCACTTCATAATATATACCCATTTACTCACCATTTAATCCCCCCAACTGTCCGAACATGCTTACCTTTTTGCGTACTCCTTCTTGGGTGCTGGACAGCTTGAGCAAAACAGGAGGAAGGAATTTAGATATAATATTCTGTAATTGTTCATCTGTTTCAGCATGGCCAAGTCGTAAAAAGACCCGTTCAAGCTGATCTATAATATAAGAAGAAAAAAAGAAGAACTTAACATATCAAACACAACCAAAACTAAATATTTTTATAGTTTAACCTTTTTTCTGTACTGCAGATCATTCAATCATGATTAGCCACAACTAGCCCTGTATGCAGAGGACTCTGATATACTAGGAAACAACACTAAAAAAGGCTTACTACCTAATTACACTTTCTTCCAACTGTCCTGGTCATTTAACCCCCAAAAGAGAAGAAAACAAAGCCAAGAATATCAAAATTCTCTCCTACATACAGTTATCCCTTTCTTCTAAAAGATTTGCATACTGAAAAGAATACAAAAATTCTGAAGAACTCTTCTAGATCTAGCTAGCGGAGGGAAGGAGAACTTTAATCCGACACCAAGGACAGTATCTATTTGGTGAAGCCGCCTTACTGATGAAGGTTCTCCATGGACAGAACCACTGCCCACTACTGTAGTGGGATTACCTAACCAGGATGTGAGAGACCGGTTTCAACCAAGAAAGCCTCCATGAGAGAAACATGTTACACAGCACCACCATGATGCTCCCAGCAAAACCCAGACTGTGACAAAGTACAGAACAAGTAGCCAGACCATTCCAACAGAAGGGAAGGAAAGAGAAGGGAAGGGAAGCGAGGAGAGGGGAGGGAGGAAAGAGGAGAGGAGGGGTTGTGACAGGGAAACCTACCATTTGCCAATGCTTTGATATTTGATTTTAAGGAAATACTGTTAATTTCTTAGGTGTAATAATGGTATTGTGGTTTATGTTTGTTTTTAAAGGTTCTTAGAAAAGTTATCCCTGGTGATTGAGAAGACTTCTAAGGTGGTTAGAAATGTCCTGTATCTTGTTCTAGGTGATGGTTGCAAGGATATATATCTTGATAAAAATTCATCAAGCTCTCTACTTTCATACTTTATTATACCTCAATTTAAAATTTTATTTAAGAGAGTCTTTATTTTTTAGAGATCAAGACTGAAATACCCACAGGTGAAATAATATAGTTATGGGGATTCACTTGAAATAACCAAGGGTGTGCTGGTAATTTGCTAGAGAGTAAATTTCAGATGCTCTCACAACACATACACACAAAAGATGACTGTATGAGAAGATATGTTAATTAGCTTGACTACAGTAATCATTCCACATGTACATATATATCAAATCATCACATTGTACCTCTTAAATACATACAATTTTTATTTTTTTTATATAAATAAGGTAATAGCCTCATTTGGGTTCTTATAAAAAATACTAATCGGGGCAGAGGAATGAGGAATGGGGAGAGGCCATATAAATGAAACCAATATTGGCCACTAATCGATTAACTGTTGAAGCAGCATAACAGATAAAGAGAATTTGTTCTTTTGTGTATGCTTGGTATTTTCCATAATTTTTTAAAGACACACACACACACACACACACACACACACACACACACACACAGAACACAGAGGTAAGACGTTCTGGTGGCAACAAGCATACCCTGAACCCAAATCTTGGTTTTTAAATACCATTCTCCAAAAAGAGGAACCAGGCTCCTTGAAAAAATGACAGATTCTGGGGCTGGAGCAGGGAAAAAGCAAGATGAACCTGAAGCATCTTGTAATGCTAAAAAGAAAATGGGGCCTGGAACATGCTGAAGGTCTCCAGGAGCCCCCTGTAAGAGTTCCAACATGGCCAAAGCTGAATAATTTGAGGAACAAAATAAACAAAACAGTACTGGATTATAACCCAGAGTATAAAAATTACTCTACATGAATCCATGCTGATGTAAATAAATTACTAAATGATTAAGTTCAATGGGGGAAAAGAAACCTCTTTCTTCTGAAAGAATTCCAAGTGTTACCTGTAGATACCTCCCCCTGCAGGAGGTACAACTTCATTTCTGCCTCCACCCTGTCTGAGAAGGTGGACTAGGTTTACTGAGTTGCTTCCAAAGAACAGAAAAAGGAAAATGTTAATGCTACAGTGGAGATGCTTGATAAATACTATCTTCACCAAGTGATGGAAGTTACCACCATGACTGATGTCACATGGCTATCATGATCCCTGATGTGACAAGAAGGGCACTGCACCTCTGTGGTGTTCTTTGAAAAGACCCAGACCATGCCCCCCCCAATCTAATTATCAGTAAAACAACTAGAAAAACCCAAACTGGAAGAACTTCTATGGGATACCCAGCCAGTACTGCTTAAGACTTCCTTTTTTTTTTTTTTTAAGATTTTATTTATTTATTCATGAGAGACAGAGAGAGAGGGAGGCAGAAGGAGAAGCAGGCTCCCCACTGAGCAGGGAGCCCCCCGATGCGGGACTTGATCCCAGGATCCCAGGATCATGACCTGAACCAAAGGTAGACGCTTAACCATCCGAGCCACCCAGGCGCCCTCAAGACTTTCAAGACAGTGAAACATGGGGAAAGACTAAGACACTATCACAGACCAGAAGTGAGAGGAAGACAACTAAGTGCAGTGTGGTGCCCTAGGTCAGATCCCAGAAGAGAAAGAGGACATTAATGGGAAAGTGGTGAAATCCAAGTAAAGCCTCAAAGTTTAAATTTTAAGATGATAATAAAGGAAGAAGAAAAGAGTAAGGAAGAAGGAAGGAGGAAAGGCAGGCAGGATGGCTATGAGATCAACAGACCAGATGCTTCTACACAGTGGCTGTGAAATCAGTCCACAATATTTGTGCCAGTTCCAGGAGGCTTGGCGCTAGTGCCTCACAGATCTCAGGGCAGCAAAAACTGTCCACAGATTTTACCTAGAGAAACGATGGAGAATTGTTCTGGGGAAGAAGGCAGAAAGTTGAATTCATAACAAACTGACCTAGAGAATCTGTACCAAAGGTTTAAAAAACCAAGTGATATTGGTCTCTCTCATTTTTTTTGTACAACTGTTCAGTTTCTTCTTATGTATCCCCACCATAGTGCCTAAACTTTCTTCTCTCCCTCACTAGGCAAGAAAATGTAGCATCCTCAATGTAATAAAATTATTTATGATGGGACTACGGGAATGGCAAAAGGGCACCAAACTTTATGTGGGACCTCTCCCAAACAGGCCAAGTGTACCAGAGGAAGAGTCAACCCTCCTACAGCCTTTGAGGAGCAGCAGTGTAACAGTCTTATGCCATCTTTAGTACACACCATACTTTAAATAAAGGTAATTAATCACGTTCAAGCTTTTTTAGAAGAAATGTAAGTAAGTGCTGATATAATCAAGTAGTAAATTTATCAACCTGTCAAAGCTAACAAAATAAAAAGTAAAGATTTAGCAAGAGTACGGTCCCTGAATCCCATTTTTAGAGGCACAGAAAGAATCTGCTGGGGACACCTGGGTGGCTTAGCCAATTAAGCGTCTGCCTTCAACTCATATCATGATCTCAGTCAGGGTCCTGGGAAAAAGCCCCACTTTGGGCTCCCTGCTCAGCAGAGAACCTGCTTCTCCCTCTGCCTCCCCCTATCCCTGCCCCCGGGCTTGTGCTCTCTCTCAAATAAACAAATTTAAAAAAACAAAAACAAAAACAAAACAAGGAAACAAAAAACAAAAGAATCTGAACTCTGTGCCCTTAACCTAACCCAGGAAACAACCTCACAAAAGTGACAAGGCAAATTAGGCCCAGGACCCCAAAAGTGTCTGTCTATTCAGAAACAAGGAGGACTGTAGCCAAAAGTTCTGAAAATTCAAAAGGAATCCAAAACTCAAATTCATCTTTCACACAGACTGAGTTTTTCGTGCAGGAAGTGAGATCCTCCAGGTCATCACACAGTATCTGAGATACGACAAACACTACGTCAGGGTCAGAAGCGAGTTCCATCCTCTCCACAACTCCAACATTATTCACTGCATACAAACTCATATCCAATTATTTTCACTTATGAGAAAAAGACATTGCCGTAACCTCAGACAATCACTGTTAAATGCAGAGACTATATTCTGAGCTATTATTTCCGGTTCATAAAACTAACATATTTGGGATGCCTGGGTGGCTCAGTTGGTTGGATGACTGCCTTCGGCTCAGGTCATGATCCCAGAGTTCCCGGATCGAGTCCCTCACCGGGCTCCCAGCTCCATGGGGAGTCTGCTTCTCCCTCTGACCTTCTCCTTGCTCATGCTCTCTCTCATTGTCTCTTTCTCAAATAAATAAATAAAATCTTAATAAATAAATAAATAAATAAATAAACTAACATATTTTAGGGGCACCTGGGTGGCTCAGTGGGTTAAAGCCTCTGCCTTCGGCTCGGGTCATGATCCTGGGGTCTGCGGGGAGCCTGCTTCCTCCTCTCTCTCTCTCTGCCTGCCTCTCTGCCTACTTGTGATCTCTGTCAAATAAATAAATAAAATCTTTAAAAAAAAAAAAAACTAACATATTTTAACCTAAAAACTGAAATATGACATATAGTATTTTACAGTTTGCCTTTTTCCTTTTGATTCATACAAGTCCTTTACCTTTGGAGCAATATAGGTCTCAGAACTTAAAAAATCTAAAGATTTTAGAATGATAATATAGTGTATATACTGCATATTTCAAATAACCCTATCCACCCAATGGGTTCTAGAGCAGTACCTGTAATCAAATACATTCATATTTCTGTAATAAAACATATGGGCAGTCACACTAAGTAGGATAATCAAAGATTATAAAGAACCACCTATCCATTCAGATCACGGTTTTAAATACCAAATGAAGAACACTCAAAAAACGTTTGGTTACATATAAAATCTTAAATATCTTTCCGTAGCACTAAATAAAAATCTAATTGATAATGGCCACAGGGAGACTCTGTCTATAGAATAGTATAATATATTTAACTAACCCTTTATTTGTGTTATTACCAGTTTTACAGTACCACAAATGATGCTTCAAAGAATATTTTTATCCCCGCATCTGTGCACTGGTATGGGTTTCTGTAAGCTAAAGCCCTAGAAATGGAACTGCTGAGTCAAAGTTCCTTGACTGCATGTGACCCAGTTTAATAGATTTTGGGAAAATACAGAGTAATGTATGA